CCTGCACAGGTGAGAGGTGGTGAAGGCAGAGCTCCAGGTCTGAGGATAGACCTCAGGCCCCCCTGCACAGGTGAGAGGTGGTGAAGGCAGAGCTCTAGGTCTGACGTTAGACCCCAGGCCCCCTGCACAGGTAAAAGGTGAAGGCAGAGCTCCAGGTCTGAGGCTAGACCCAAAATTCCCTGCAGAACAACATGTGTACTTCTGTTTCATGAGAAACTATTTGTTCTGTAAGCCTTCACCTGAAGTACAATAAAAAAAAAAAAAAATTCCCTGCAATGGTGAGAGGTGGTGAAGGCAGAGCTCTAGGTCTAAGGCTAGACCAGGATTCCCTGCACAGGTGAGGTGCATAAGACAGAGCTCTAGGTCTAAAGCTAGACCCAGGACTCTCTACAAAGGTGAGATTTACAGAAGGCAGAACTCTGTGTCTAAGGCTAGACCTCAGGTGCCCCTGCACAGTTGAAAAGCTGTGAAGGCAGAGCTGTAGTTATGAAGTAGCCCAGGCCCCCTACAGCAGGTAGATCTCCAGGTCTGAGGCTAGACCAAGGACTCCCTGCAGAGGTGAGAGGTGGTAAAGATGGAGCTTTAAGTCTAGGCTAGACCCCAGAACCTGTGTGTCCCTCACAAGCATGATCTGCAGGTGGGTCTCTAGGTCTTAGGGGATTCAAGGTCCCTTAAGCAGCTCATCATCCAGCCTGGGTGTGTTACTTGGGAGGGTACATGGAGGCCATGTGGAGGCCGTCAACAGGGCAGCCATCCATCGGGGTGTTCTCCCCACATCCAGAGAGAATGGTGGGTGATTCTCAGCAAGCTGAGGTGCCTGGCAAGGGTGTGGGAAGGAGTGCCCTCCCCGCCTGGGGGCACCCAGGATGTGGGGGGTGGGTAGGGAGGGCTGGCGTTATCTGTGCATCCCAGGGGAGGAGGCCGGCTGGCACCTGCCCGCAGCTGCTGCCGCTGGCAGTGCTGGTCTGGGGTGCCCGAGGGGAGGAAGCTGAGGGGGAGGGCAGTTCCTCCAAGTTCTCCCCACTTCAGGAGGTTTTCTGTGGAGCAAGGCCATGGAGAAGCTTCTGTCTGCCTCTCCAGGGACTGTGGTGGTCGGGGCTGCAGCGGGAGACTGGGGCACAGTTTGGCAGTCCCCACAGAGTGGCCTTCCCGGGGAGCCTGCCTGTCTCCTGGGAGGTGCACTGGTCACCCCAGGCAGTCCTCGAGGCCCATCCTTCCCTAGACCTGCCCCACTTCCTGGCCTCCTGCAGCCTTGTCCCTCCAGTCTCCTGCTGGCTGGGCCCAGCCCCACCCCCTCCTGTGTGTGCCCGTCTCCCCAGCCCCCTCTTTCTCGCTGCCCTCCCCCCTTCCCTTCCCTCGCTTCTCCGTCCCCCCTTCCCTTCCCTCGCTTCTCCGTCCCCCCTTCCCTTCCCTCGCTTCTCCGTCCCCCCTTCCCTTCCCTCGCTTCTCCGTCCCCCC